TATTTTCATTCTTTTGAAAGTGTTTAATGTTCATCACATTATTTGTGAATGAAAGCATTTCAAGAACAGATAGGAATGGACTTTCTATTTATGTCATTATTGTTTGAAACAGAAGATTTTTATTACTAAGGTTCTAAAAGAATACCTCAAAAAAAAAAGAGTACCTCAAGATGATCAAATGTTGAATGTAATAATAATTCTACACTTGGTATCTTATTTTTACAGTATTGTTGCTACAGAAACTTCCAAGCATTCTTTCATTTTCTTGGCTAGTTTTTATTAGGTGCCTACCATATCCCAAGCCCTGGGTGGGGTGGAGGGAGAGCATGTTGGGTATTTGAGTGTTTAAGTGTTTAAGAAAAGTATTTCTGGCAACTACTGAAAAGTAAGTTTCTTCCTGATATCTCCAAGAACATTAAAAAAATAATAATAACAAAACTCCCATGCAAGGGGAAATGGTTAAGGGATAGTTGTCAACAAACACAAAACACCTTCATTTAGAAATGAAACCAAGTGGAAATGCTAAAAACAAAACAAAACAAAACAACAGTGTTAACATCTCATGAATTTTGTGCAAAAGCAAGAGTGAGAAACTTGAATATTTTATATGGGTTGGGGCTACTTTTAAAAATTTTAAACAAAATAACCATAAAAATAGATACTGCTTCCATAGTAACATAAAAGAGTAACAATAAAACACAGGGAAGGTAGCTCTGAGAATAAAATCCCAAAATTGTTCTTTTCTAAAGTAAGTAAAAAATGTAAACATCTCCTTAATTAGGGACGAACTAGGATCAATCATCCAAGAAATATTGAATTCCATCAAAGTATAAATCATAGTAGGCTTTTATGTGAAGGTTTAATTTTTTCATAATATATATTAAAACAACAGGAGAAGCAGTTCATTTTATTAAACTTAACAATATCATAGTAAGTGTGTGCATTTACCTTGCCTCTGGCATTAGCTACTGAACGAACACTTCTATTTTCTTACAGAGAAAAGAGAAACAATTGAGAATAGAAACCGAAATATGTAAAGAGAATAATTAATGTCAATAGACCAGTGTATGTCCTGAGTGTCCAGTATATGCCAAGCTAGTGTTAGTAGTTATATAAATTTCACTAAATCTTTAGAGGAAAAAAAGAAAATTGGGGGAAAGTCTTTAACCCACTTTATAATAGTAAAGCTAAAAAATATTAAATAATTTACCATAAATGACACAATTAATCAAGTCAGAGCAATGCTCTAAAATAATACTCTTTTGGGACACTGGGGTGGCTCAGGTGGTTAACATCTTCAGCTGAGGTCATGATTGAAAGGTCCTGGGAAGGAGCCCCATGTCAGCGGGGAGCCTGCTTCTCCCCCTCCCAATGCTACTCTCCCTGCTCATGTTCTCTCTCCCTCTCAAATAAATAAATAAATAAACAAATAAATAAAATCTTAGAAAAATAAAATGCTACTCTTTTATTCTCAATAGTTTAATTTTCTCTATTTTTATTTGTTTAACTCTGAAAGTAATACGTATATACAGAAAAATGTGGGGTAAAAAGTAAAGTTTCCCATTCCAACTCCTTCTTCTCACCAGAGGTAATTATACTGCAGAGAAATTTGTATGCATTTCTAACAGATTATATTGCATCTATACAAATATAGATATTATAGATATTTTATAGAGAAAAACGTTCACATACATTGTTCATAAATGAGGTAATTCAAAGTAAGTTTTATTATGGATTTTCCCCCTCTTTTTCAGTTTTCCATGACAATACTTATAGACCTCTTTCACTCAATTTGGTGACTGGAGTTTTCAGTACTATGGATGAGCCACAATTTATTTAAACATTCCTGTCTTGGTAAATATTTAGCTGTGTCCATTGCTCTGTTACAGCAAAAAGGGGTCATATAAACTTTCTTCTATGCTTATCTGTAGACATCGATAACTAATCATGTAGATGGAAAAACTCTGGTTTTAATTTCTACCTTGTATTAAGTTGACAGTGTAGAAACATCAGAATATACGTAGGTATGGGTTTTTACTTACTGTTTGTTCCCTTTATTTATGAATCCCTAAGACTGGTGTCTTTATATACTTCCAGTTACCATGACAATAACACTATTCTATGGCAATGTCTACGTAGTACTATGGTATAAGTCTATTGTTCTTTTTTTTTTTAAAAAAAGATTTTATTTTTTATCTGAAAGAGAAAGAGAGAGAGATCACAAGTAGGCAGAGAGGCAGGCAGAGGGAGAGGGGGAAGCAGGCTCCTAGTTCAGCAGGAAGCCTAATGCAGGGCTTGATCCCAGGACCCTGAGATCATGACCTGAGCCAAAGGCAGAGGCTTAACCCACTGAGCCAACCAGGTACCCCAAGTCTATTGCTCTGATTGTGAATTCTTTCATCTATTTACCTACTGTTAGTTATTAGTTACCTACCATATCCCAGGCCCTTGGCCAAGTACTAGAGATGAAGAGAAGAATAAGACATAGTCCCTGATAATAAGAAGGTTATGGTAGAGTGGCATAACTTCTTTCTAGGTATTTGAACACTTGTAAATGAGTAATGTAATTTTTAACATTTATGATCCAGGTGTTTTGTGTCATTTAGACAAATACAGGAATGCCTGGTTGTATTTTTTAATATTAATTATGGCAACTTAAAAATCAATGAGCATAATTCATCTAGATTATCTTCCTTTTCATTTCCTATCTTCATTTTCATCTGCCTTAGAATTAGGATGAAATCATAAATACTGTGTTTTTTTGGAATTCTGTAGGTCATCATGGTGCAGATAATCAGTTGACTTTTTTCATCAGCTGATGAAACACATTCTGGAGACAGTTCTACATGTCCACCCAGTATCCATGGTAAATGAACTGTAAGGACATTTACACATGTAAGGGTAGTAAAATATTCTGTGTTTTTGTGCTACAGGTATTCAAGTAACATATTTCTGGCCAAAGAGACTTATAGGGAGGGGGGTAAAAAGCCTTTAGGAAGTTTTGTTTTTCCCAATAAAAGGTCAGTCATGACTACTGCAGTTCTCTACCCCAACTTCTTCCTGCCCTGAATGTGGATATGATGTCTAGAGTTTCAGCAGCCCTCATGTGACCAGCTGATGGTAAAAGTTAATTTTAAGGACTGAAGAATGGAAAGTTAGAAAGTTTTTGATTTCTTGACAAAGTCACTGAAGACCTGAACAAATGTCAAGAGTTGACTACCTTCAGATCTCTTATTTCCATTTGGAAAAAATTAAACTCTGCATAGTTAGACCACGAACAGTTAAGCTGTTGGCCATTTCCAAATGAATTCACTGGGATTCTATTGGTTTTGGTAGTAGAGGTCTCTGAATCAATATAAAAGCTGGACCATTTGTGAATGCTCTGCCATTGTTCTGTCTGTATTGTTTTTTCCTATTATTCTCTTTCATGAAGTTATTTTTCCATGCTGTAATTTAGAAAGTTTGATTTAAATATTTTTCTGCTTAAGTTGAAATTTTAGAACACTAATTAGGATTTTAATAATTTTTTTTGTTTTTTTTTTTTAAGAGGAAAATTTAATTTTTGAATGTTCTCCATTTAATCACACAGGTCCTATTTGAAGTATGGGGTCAAAATGCAACAGGGCTACTGCTTTTTCCCTGGAGATTTTTTTTTTAAACATATAATGTATTATTTGTTTCAGGGATACAGGTCTGTGATTCATCAGTCTTACACAATTCACAGTGCTCACCACAACAAATGCCCTCCCCAGTGTCCATCCCCCAGCCACCCCATCTCTCCCAACACCCTCCCTCCAACAACCCTCAGTTTGTTTCCTGAGATTATGAGTCTCTTATGTTTGTCTCCTTCTCTGGTTTCATCTTGTTTCATCTTTCCCCTCCTTTCCCCTATGATCCCCTGTCTTGTTTCTCAAATTCCTCATATCAGTGAGATCATATGATAATTGTCTTTCTCTGACTGACTTATTTTGCTTAGCATGATACCCTCTAGTTCCATTCACATCCTTGCAAATGGCAAGATTTTGGGGGTTTTTGATGGCTACATAGTACTCCATTGTATTCAGCTGCATTACCAATATAACCATGATGTTGTGCTGCATAGAATAACTTTTACTTCCTAATTTCACTCTAATACACTAGATGAAGAACTCACTGATGTGTTTCTCCTCATTTTTTTGGACAGCTTGTCTATAGAGGATTAGCTACCTCAAACTCTGTTATGAATTCCTACAAACTCTAAATTCTGCCTCTCAAAATGGCCACGACAGTAGGGCTGCTCCACCTGAAGGCTCAGGGCTAGGCAGCCTCCACATGACCCACCTTGCCAAGCCACTGTCAAACATTTTATTAAAAAGAGTACAAGGATCCCTGTTATAGTCCGACAGATCTCTGATAACTGGACAGCAACACACAAAAAGGTTGGCCTAGACTCTTAATCAACCATCAGTTTTGTTTAAACACTTCATTTTTACCTGGTTCAAAGGGCATCTTCAGAGAGCCAAAGTGCAAATCTAACAGATGTGCTTATCACGCATTTTCAACTTTACTGAACCTCAGAAATTTATAGAAAACATGATATATATAAACACTTAAAAAAGAAATTTAGAATAATCACTGTTGGAAAACATCACTGTTCTTGAGGGATTATTTTATACTACTTGGTTAATAGAATAAAACTTACTGTTCATTTGCTCATATATGGTGAAATGAGATCAGTCAAAAATATTTGGCTATCTTCATTAATTGGGCTCACTTATTAAATTCTATTTATTTAAATGCTATAGTATTTATTTATTAAATTCTGTAGTGTTTTCTTAAGATAGTGGGATTAATAAGATAGCCAAAGTAGTTCTTGATTTGAATGTCCATTAATTTCCTAAGCTAAGACTTTACTGTTATTGGCATGTGAGTCATGGTTTACTGTGACAGTTTTCACAGCAATACTTTCCCCCCAAAGACGAAGTTGATTAAAAAAAAAAAAAAAGAGAGAGAGAGTTTACCTGATTTCCTCCCATACCATGACAGTTGAATATACCCACTTTTTCATTTTCCTTGCGGCCCATGTTGTCTAAACACTGGTTGGTTTCAACATTTCTTATCTAAAGGAAACACACAAAAACAGAAGTCAGATAGTGATTTAAGTGAGAAAATCTTCCTGGTGTTATCAGATTGTAGATTGATAATAAGATGATGCATGTTTGCAAGGAAATTTCCCCAAGAAGAACACACTGTTTTAAATATTTATTTTTCCATGTCCAGTCTTAATTTTGTGTCAATTTCTATCTCCTACGGTAGTAAATGTGAACAGCAATGGCATTGCCATTAGCATCTAATCAAGAGGCACTCCTCATTTATAGCACAGTATCAGAGAAAGAGGAAACATTACAAATTAGTCATTCTTCTCCATATCCTCTTAAAATTAGTACAGTTGCCAAATTCCGCTCAAAAAGCCAGTCTATTCTTGAACTCCTATGGTACCATATGCAAAGGAATTGAAACAAATTGGTTAAATATTCAAATTAATGTGTTTTAGGTTGTTTTATTACTAGATGTTCCATCCTGTTAGTAAAGATTAATTATTGTTTATTTCTGTAGCTAAAACATAGTCACACATCTTTTTTCATCCCTAATGCCAAACTTAATGGAAAAGAGTTGACCCTAAGAAAAGCTATTACAAGACTAAATGGTAATTTCACATTAAAAATCCCTTAAAAACAAGATTAAACTGCCAACTGCAAACATAAGATTCTCGGTTTATACTCAAATACTGCATTAGTTCCATAATTAACATAATGTTAATATGTATTTGAGACACATGTAATTACAAAAGCCATTCACTGAATTTAAAGATGCTAAAATTACTAAATCAAGCACAAATGAATAATAAAAATGGCATTTCGAAAAAATGGAATGTTTTTAATTTCTTCTATTATTTTAAACCCCAAGTATGTATTGATATCTGTCCACTCTGTTTCTGAAAAGTTCTTATCTCTGACTCTTCTTAGAACATGCATATTTCACTGTTCACTCATACATTACTTGCATGTATCTGTTTAGTTATCTATGCTTTAAGCACTCATTTCTTCATATTGGCAAATTAATAAGATCAAAAACTTCTCAAACGGATGGGTTAGGTATATATGAATCACTTTTTTTGTATGATGCAGAGCCCCAAAGTCAAGTAATGGCTCCTGGAGTTGGGAAAAATGGTGTGATCTGCATTAAGGCCCCAGTCAGCAACTGAGAAGAGTGGGGACCGGAGTTCATACTTTGCAAGGATTGGAAAGAACTGAGCACAACTGTCAAGCCCTGTTCCAATGCCTTGAAATTTAGAGCAGGATTATAGATGCTCCCATGGAGAAATCTGAGCAGCAACCCATTAGAAAGGGCAGAACACACCGTGACTATCAAAGAGAAAGGGGGGGGCGCGGCGCCTGAGTGGCTCAGTAGCTTAACCTTCAGACTCTTGGTTCCACCTCGGGTCCTGGACAGAGTCCCTTGTCCTGCTAAGCAGAAAGTGTGCTTCCCTTCTCCCCTTCCTTCTGATCACCAGCACCCCCGCCAACAACATGTGCACTCTATTTCTAAAATAAATAAATATTTTAAAAAATAAAGAGAAAAGTTACAAGCTTCAAGAAGAAAAATGCTGTTCAAGTTCCATACTGGTAAGTTTGGGTTATCTGGTGTAGGTTGGTTCAGGCACTGGAGGATACCGAGCCTATACGCAAAGGTTAAAGATTTTTTGGGACCTGTAGCTAGGACAGGAGTGAGAAAGGTAACAACTGATAGATGATGCTGTATATCAGTCTGTTTATGTTTCACATAATCTAATCAGTATGCCACATATAACTTTATTTTTAAGTCCTTTATATGAACTTTTCTTGTTAACATTTCACAAAAGACAGACTTCTTGAGAAACAGTAAAATGATGTATTGTTATTTATTAATCTAAAAAAGTATGGGAGAGTGTAAACAATAATATTTACAGGAATAAATATCTCATAAAATGATTAATTCACCTTTACATGTAATCTATGCAATCTGATTCAAAGGACCTTGGCTAGATTGCTGGTACTTGAAAAAATACTAGTTAATAATTACAGGGGCTAGAAGCTGAGTCATTTATAAAATTTTGTCTCTTTGCTGAATGACAGAAGATTCAAAGCCATTTTCAGGCCAGTACATACTCTGACAGAAGCATTTCAAAGAGACATGATAGATTCATATCAACCTACTTTTTGACAAATTAAGCACAGAACAAGAATGCTTCCAAAGTATTTTGTCCCCAGTAAGAGACTATTATTTATTTTTTTGAAGAATTTATTAATTTATTTGACAGAGAGAGAGACAACAAGAGAGAGAACACAAGCAGTGGGGAGTGGGAGAGGGAGAAGCAGGCTTCCTGTGGAGTGACGGGTGGCTCGATCCCAGGACCCTGGGATCGTGACCTGAGCCAAAGGCAGGTGCTTAACAACTGAGTCACCCAGGTTCCCATTATCTATTTTTTTTTTAAAGATTTTATTTATTTATTTGACAGACAAAGACCACAGGTAGGCAGAGAGGCAGGCAGAGAGAGAGGAGGAAGCAGGCTCCCTGCTGAGCAGAGAGCCCGATGTGGGGCTTGATCCCAGGACCTGGGATCATGACCTGAGCCGAAGGCAGAGGCTTTAACCCACTGAGCCACCCAGGCATCCCCCCATTATCTACTTTTTATAATAGGTACACTTGGTCTACAGCCTCTCTTATGAGTGAATGCACTCATTCACTCAACAAATATTACTGAGAATATGTGTACTTCATGTACCATTTAAGGTACTGAGGATACTGAAGTGAACAGAGTAAACCTAGTCCATTCCCTGGAGTTTGTATTTTAGAAGAAAAGAGTGCGATACCCAAATACATTCATAATATAACAGAAGATCAAGAACTTCCGTGAAGAACTATCAAGTACAGTAAGAGCAGACAAAGTACTACGCTATATCAGATAGGGAATTAGGAAAGGCCACTTGGAGAAAACAATACTTGAAAAGATACCTTAGTAAATTGAGAGAGCAGCCGGATTTCCATGTGTATGGAACAGCATTCTAGAGAGAGGGAATAGCCAAAGGATGTTCTCTGCAGCTGAGAAAACTGGCTGAAATAAGCTAGCAATGGGGCAGGGTGTGGGGAACAAGGGTGGAGGAGAGAGGTATCCAAGACCAGATCATGTAGGAAATCATAAGTTTCTACACATGAGGATGACTATTAATAGCTTATACTGGCTGCTGTGTGGAGAGCAGATTAGAGGGAGGCAGGAATGGAAGCAGAGAAACACTTAAGGGGACTCTCACAGTCATGCCAGCTAGAGATGGTGGCTACTTGAACTAACAGGATAACAGCAGAGGTGGATAGGTCAAATTTGGGATATTTTTACTTTAAGATTTACTTACTTATTTATTTATTTTCTATAGAGAGAGAGAGAGAGACAGCGCAAGTGCGTGTGGGAGGAGGGGCAGAAGGGGAAGAAGGGACAGAGGGAAAGAATCCCAAGTAGATTTGCATGGAGCCCAGAGCCTGGAGCTGGAGCCCAAAGGTTGGGGTGAGGTGGGGGGTGGTGGTTGGGACATGCTCTTAGGACCCTAAGATCATGACCTGAACTAAAACCAAGAGCCTGATGCTCAACCAACTGAGCCACCTAGATGTCCCAATTTGGGATGTTTTTAAGATAGAACCAAGTAAGACTTGCAATTGAATCTGCTGACATAAGCTATGAGAGGAGGAAAAGAGATCAAGAATTTTGCTTGAGCAAATGGACAAATGATGTTTCCATTTACTAGGAACAATATTCTGATTTCCTGCATGTTGATAAATATATCTGTAGCCTTTGTATTAGAAAATCAATTTGGTATATATGAAGTCCTTGGCCCACCATTTATTTCCTTGAGTATCTTTAAAATGTTATTGCTATTTACTTCTAACACAAGTAGCTGCTTTTGGAAAGTCTGACGATACTCTGGTTTTCTTTACCTTATTCTTTTTTACAAATCTCTATTTGCTTGAATGCCAAACTGATTTTATTTTTTTTAAGTTCAATAGGTTTACCACAATGTATCTTAATATTGTTTATTCTGGATCACCCTTTCAGATAGACAGCATTCCTTTTCTTTTTTTTTTTTTTTTAAGATTTTATTTATTCATTTGACAGAGATCACAAGTAGGCAGAGAGGCAGGCAGAGAGAGAGGAGGAAGCAGGCTCCCTGCTGAGCAGAGAGCCTGATGAGGGGCTTGATCCCAGGACCCTGGGATCATGACCTGAGCTGAAGGCAGAGGCTTTAACCCACTGAGCTATCCAGGTTCCCCAGCATTCCTTTTCAATATGCAGTTTCAATTTTATTTCAGGCACATTTTCTTTAATTATAAGTATTAATGTTCACTTTGTCTTGTTACTTTGATTTTTCTCACTAGGAAATCTATTATTTTGGATCTTGTTGCTTATCTCTCTATATGCCACCTTCTATTAAAAGTGGATTATTGAGGTTTTGGGGTTACTGACTCATGTGATGTTTCAAATTTAGCCTTTGTTTCTAAATGAATTCCTTCTTTAATTTCTAAATCCTTACTGCATTTCTGGCCCTTATTTCAGAGGTATTTCTAAATTTGATTTATAGTGTTCTTTTGCACATTTTATCATTATACAATTTCTTTTAGCTTGCTTTGAAATATTAGATTGCACTTTTCCCATCTATGAGCACAAAGCTTTGGTGTCCTTGCCTTGTTTGTAGAGAGATCATCTTCCTCCTTATTTTCTTTATTCTTATTGTGGCCAGTCTCTTCCATTATTGCTGCTGTTCTTATTGTTGGATGAGTCCAATTCTCCTGGTCTTTTAAGAGACAGGTTTGATCAGGAGACCATTTCTTTCTTTTCTTTTTTGGGCAATCCCCTGGCATCTTTAAAATTATCCTGTTGCCTGCTTCCCAAGTCCGTGCATTCCCATTTAGTTGGTAGAGGGTATAATTTGGCCATTGGGGTTTTAAATTCTTCCCCAGGTAATTTTTTTTTTTTAAGATTTTATTTAGTTGAGAGAGTAGGAGAACACAAGCAGGGGCAAGGGGAGTGGGA